GGGGTACCTAGCACAGCAAAGGGTACCAAAAGGGTGGAGCTAAACTCACTGCAGAATGTTGATTGGTTGACTAGAATCATCACTTTTGCGTGATACAAGGGGATAAAGCGTCCTTCATTCGTTCTGCTTTGCTGTCCATGAGTGTTGGGCTTATTTACATCAGAATACGCAAACACACAAAAAAATATAACCGTGTATTTTATAATTGTAATCCGCTGGCTCTGATGTCTCTGTAGTGATTAAACACGAGATAATTCGTTTTGGGTAGGCTATATTTAACAGGCATTCGTGGTCTCATGAATCTATTATTTATTCCTGGTCATATCGTCATATCGCTGAGCACAAAGTTATGTTTAACTTTATATATTTATTTTGAACTTTACCGTAGTACAGCGCTGAATTTGTAGCATTTGTTTGACTGAATTGTTTGCTTTTGTCTTTATTTCCTCTTATATAAGCCTCTTATACTTTGTACTTATACTTTTATAATGGCTATTATTGTTCATTAAAACTGACATTTAACAAAAAGAGGCAGAGTTGTGCTTATTGTCGCTCTTTATCGTCGAACGCTACTTTCCGGCATACACCGCAATTATCAAGAAGGGTACTATTGGCAGTGGGAAACGCAAGCCTGATCAGGGTTACCTGTACCGTACCGAATCATACTGTACTGAACTGTACTGTACCGTACCGCTCAGTGGAAACGAGCCATAAGAGGAGTAAAGTGATCAGTACCTCTGGTGTGGCAGCGCGGGACGCTCGGTTGCACTCACTGTCACTGGAACTGCTCTCGCTGTCCGAGTCGGACTCTGAGCTGCTCTCCGATTCGCTGGAGCTGCCCGATGCACCGCTGGAGTGACCAGTCGGTTCGCTGGTCCGCGGTGTGGTTCCAGGGAGGCTTTAGGAAAAAGAACAGAGGAGAATATTCGTCAAATGATATGACACACTTCAAAACACACAAACGTGCCATTGACAGCATAGATATAGATACCATCTATGCTATTACATTATAGTTCAAGTCTTTAAAATATCAGACACCAAAATAATTTTTTTAATGTTAAATATTACTTCAATAGCCTTGATATTTCTTTCACCTATAATAAAAAAAAAAAATATATATATTTTTTTTTTCAACATTAGCTGGAGAGCCAACTAACAAAGAGACAACTGAACCAATTGATGATAGACTACATCACTTACAGAGAGACAGAGATAGAAATATATAAATAGAAAGAAAATGAGCAAGGAAAGAAAGGGTTTGTTTACTTCTCCACCTACGGGGCTATTAGTCAGCTCTGTCTCAGAGTTATCAGTCATGCTCAGCATTATTTATGAGTTCATGAAAGGCCACAGTGCTCTAATCCAATGAGTACTTCACTTCTCAGGGTATCCTCAGATGTGGCCAGCCAAGATTGTTCTACATGGAGTCAAACATGCCAGAAGGAGGCAAATTAAATTCCTTTCCAAAGGTCAGACCAGGCTGCTTTATGTTGACACTTCATTAGAGATTATGTTATGACAGGAAAAAGTGCTTTGGTCTACAGCTGTGCCAGCAAGACATGCACAACATTGGCCAGGAATGAGGAACCTTTCCCAGGAAAGTGAAAAAGCAAACAAAAAACTGATTTGTGCCAAATCATAAGCTATATTCAAAATTGCACACTTGTTCACTCATGCACTGTCAGTGTGCAGCAAAAACCCTAAACAACCCAACAGCCAGTGTGTGGGCTACAGTGAAATGCATGCTTGTCATCGCATTAGATTCAGTACAACATATCAAACCAAGTGGTGGATGTTAGACCTTTTCTCAGAGCTAACGTCATTTTTCTGACTTTTAATTAACTGATGCAAATGTTTATTTTGTTTGGTTTCTTTTTTTATCTAATGCAATAAAAAGATATAGTTCAAATTGTAATTTTATATTTAATATCTATAAATCTCCTAATCAAATACCACCTGAAAGAAATACGACACAGTTACATGCACTGTGAATGTGCTGTTCTTTCAAAACACCAACCTCTGTGACCTTTGTCTATGCAAATGGCACTGATTGGTGTGATACAATACAAACCAAAAGAAAAGAAAAAGGCAGAAGGTCATTTTCTCTCCATCTTTTGGTCTTAATAAGGCTGACCTTTGGTTAACAGCTGTGGAATCTCATAAGAGAAAGGCAAGTCTGAGAAAGCGTTTCTTGGTTCTTTCACCTTCTATCACACATAGTTTTGTTTACTTTTTAACACAATACAAAACAATAACTAATTTTGCCCTTTTTCTGTATGAAAAAATTGTAATATAATATAATATAATATAATATAATATATTACAACTTGGTCTCATAAAAATACGTACCTCTGGGTACTTTTCTGCAACACCGTTTTTACGTACCAAAGAGAAATGTCCACTGAGTGGCGCTAAAACACGGGTTCAATAAGTGAACCCTGGCAAGTTTTTATTACGTTGATATAGGTACGTATTGCTGTGTTTTTATTACGTTGCTTCAGGTACGTATTGCGGCGGTTCAGAATTCAAATATC